GTCCTGCTGGCCACGCTCTTCTTGATGCACCCCAGGATCCCATTGGCTTTCTTGGCAGCCAGGGCACATTGCTGGCTCATGGTTAACCTGTCGTCCACCAGGACGCCCAGGTCCCTCTCCACACACACAAAGCAGTATTTTACAGAACACCATGTCAGAACAGAAGCTGAGCACATTTCAACTTTGCATCTTCTAGGTCTTTGCATGTAAGACCGAGCACATCTGAACAATTCAGAGATCTAGCTTCTAAGGGAAGTAACAAGCGTTTAAAGAAAGACGAAATCTACTTTGCCAGTGTGAAAGTCCTGTTCTTCACTTGAGCAAAGGTTCTCCTCCACAGCACAGTAGTTCTTTTTGCAGGAAGCAATGGTTATTATTGTAGTTCAGACCACCCACCCTCGTCAAAAGACCTAAGGATATACAAATTTAGAAGAGTAGTCACATAGGAGGGATAACACAGACCAAAAACTCCTGCAATAGTGAGACAGTTTTCAGCAGACTAAGCCAGGAAATCAACACGACAAAGCAAAAATAACATGACTGCAATAGGTGCTGTTAAGAATCTGTTACTGCTTTCTACAAAATACTTACTTGAAAAGTCCTGCAAGATAATGACTTTTCACTCAGCAGTATTTGCAATGTTGTAATAGTGGTATTTGAAGCTGGTTTACACAGAAAATGTCTAATTCCAAATTTCACCCAAACCTGCCCCTATGCTAATGACTGACAGATTTTTCCAGTGGAAGTTTTGGCCTAAATTTTCATTTTAAATCCCCAGGTCCCATAAGAAACATGTGGCCAAGCAGAGCCTTGAACCTGCTTTCTAAAATACAAGAAGCACTATAGTCACAGAACCACCATTCTTCTTGGATCATGAATGCACCAGCAATTTGATCCAGATTTATATACAGAGAGCATGAAGTTGAAGGCAATTAAAAATTATCTTAAAAATAAACACAGTTCTTGGCCATTCTACATCTGACTTCCTCATTTACAGGAATAATAAGGGAGACTGTAGCTGCATGTCTCATTAATGCACAGTAAGTGCTTAACCCAAAACAGGAGTAATGACTGTGTTCCTAAAACACACTGAAAGAATGGAACTAGTTGGCACTGACTCCCCAGAAATTTTAAGGATAAATATAATATATATTAAATCATCCATGACTTACACGTTCTGATAGGAAGATAAAGATACATGTGGTTATCAAATGAAGAATCGTCTACAAAACGTGTCAGGATTTTACCTAAAGACTTCAGGGAAATCTGCTGGAACTTTGCCATTAACTTCACCAGGACCAAAGTATTACTCTCTTGTCTCCAATTACTTAAAATCAGTGTACATCCCAGAGTCCTACCTGTCTGGAGTCTGCCCTTAGAACCTCAGAGGAAGTAAACCGAATTGGAGAAACCAACTGAATTAAGACAGTAGATATGATCTGCCCCTTGGTCCCGTATTTCTGCAGCTCTATTGCAGTCTGTTTCATTACAGCAGAAAACAAAACTTTGTGTTTTGGTGAGGCTATGTACTGAGTCACAAAGACATAGCGATTTAAAGGGGTTTTTATTGTATTGCACAAGATATCTATGCAATCCATGTAGGTACTGTATTAAAAGATCCACATTTCCTAAAACATTGGCTGTTGCAGCACACATCACAAGCATTGTGAATAACCAGTGCCTTCTTCAAAAATTATAATAATCAGTTGCAAGTTTAAGCATGTGTGGCAATAAATGAGGGAAAAAAAAGCAAGTAGTATCAATACATATTTCTTTTCAAACACACAAATATACAATTTTCAGAAGAGCACCAATAATGCCAAGCAACTATTTTGATGAGATACTGTACGTGTAGGCTCTGCAGTAAAATGCCAATATGCACACAAAAAATATATTTCACCTTTTAAAATAATTTAACCATAATACCTTGCATTTGTCACCTGTTTACAACGTATCATTTCATATACAATGTCAAGCCTCAACTTGCGTAAATTTGTGCATACCCATTTAAACAGCTGAGATTCTGGACTGGGTGTTCAAGCTGAAAAAGCCTCCAAATTGTTAAGCCTCCAAATTGTTCACATTTGAATACAGAGCGGTAGTGTAAAACCCAGAAAGTAGTTACAGTGAAGGTATAACAGAAATGGTACTACAGAAAATGAAGAAAACCACTATCAAACCCTCAAACACAAGGTTCTAGAAAGAGGCCTATATGTGAAGTGATGTTGTAATAATTTATAAAAGTGAATAATTAATTATCAGTCTCCTTTCTGACAGATTCTCATATATTCAGAAGCCTGTAGAAGTGAACTAACCAAATGTCACAATCGGTATCATCCTTAAACTCTGTTTCTTAAGTTTCTGATCATTAATACTGGTACATAAAACATTTTGTATTTGCTGAAAACTGTTATTAAAATTTACCTTCCTGCTATGAGAATTTAGTGTAATAAAAATCATGAAAAACAACAGGTAAAAAAATAGTATTTTAAGAATATTTTTAGAAAACCCGTCAAACAACTGCAAATACAGCTGATTTTTAAATGTCTCTGCTTTCGAAATACATTTGTTTTTGTTTAAGTGAATCACTTCTAAAGAAGCAAGGGAGTACCAGTTCTAAGATTTATTCTTGTCCATTACATTGAGAACCTCATCCAAAAGTGAAGGTCCCAAGTCAAGTTGTAATGAGAGAAGAGAGCCTGCAAGATCTGAAAGGGATTCTTCTGACTTAGTCTTTGTCTTGGTTAGTTCACAAGAAAGTCGACTGTCATCAAGCAAATCAACTGTTTGCCAATCAGTGCATCGTTCAGAAAAGCTGGATGAGTGACTGTCTCTACCATTAGTAAAATGCGAAGAACCACCATTTTGCTCCCATAGGTCATCTTTGTATGTTTCGCCATCTTCCATCTGTTTAGTTTTCTCCTGCAATTTTTCTTCTATTACTGGCTCACAGCTAAGCCTAGGATTTCTTGATGACCTTACGGATTCCTGCTTTGAATTAAATGTCACTGGTGACAATAAGGGCAATGTAAGGGCTTGAGAACCCCCAATGGCAGGAAGGGAAATAGCATTTTTGAGCACTGGTGATGGAGTTTCTGTAAACATGGACTCAGAAGTGCTGTTTGCCCTTAAGAATTCATTGTGGCCACCAGACTGGCTAATCGTGGTTTCTCCTTCGTTTCCAGGCAATAGCTCATAGTTGCCCTGCAAAAAGGAGATGTCTCCAAAAACATCATGTTGTCCCTCTTTTCCAATGTGTATGGTGTGACGAAAATCTCCAAGTGGTGGACTGATCATATCAGGAGATAAGATATCCCTTAGTTTAAATTTCTTCCCTTTCTTATTGTTAGCAGCTTTCAAGTAGATGGGTGTCTTGGCTGGCATCTTGCTTGTAGTTTCTGAGAGAAGAAATTATTGAAAATAATATTGTCCGTACACCTTCAGTGTTATCAAAGTTACATCATCTTGAACCACTCTTGCACATGAAGTCCCGGTCTTCTGATGCAGAAAACTATGGGGTATGTGAAGGTCAATGTCTCCCACTGCAGATCTTTCCAAGGCAGAGCACAAGTTTCAGGTCAGTTAGCAACCAAATGCCCTGCTACTTCCAGAACTTGAGAAAACCTGCATGGGATACAAAATAAGGTTATCATTAATTTATTTTTCATGGTTCATTCAGTCTTGGTTGGTTTGTTTTTTAAATTAATAATGGTACGGACAGTTCCAGCCTGCAGATTAGCTTTATGATGTTGCTTCCCTTCATTAGGCAGGATAAAAGAGTTTAGATTAACAAGGGCTAGCTAACCTTTCTCTGACTTCATAGCTTTTTTCGAAGTCAGAGTTTCTTAGACACGGTTGCTGAGCATAGTGATATTTATCAAATGAATTATCTGAATCTTTCTTCTCCTTATTCTGGCATTCAAGACGCTGGCCTTCAACCTTCGAGAGCACATGCAGAAGCACATTCATAACATTCAACAGCATTAGGCTTTTGGCAAGCCCCGGAAGATTGACAGAGTCATTCAGTAAAACCTTTTTGGAAATGGAGTAGACCACCTTGGATTAGAGAACTTCAGATATTCCCATTTAGTGCTGGAACTCTCACAACCTGTCCCCAGTAACACTTCTGATAATTGTGCCCATTGAAAAGGATAGTTTTAGGTACTTGAAAAAAGTGCTAGTCCAGGTCTTTACAACTAGAAACATCCAAATGCAGGTGTCTTAGAAGAGACTGATTCTTGTGACCACAATCTTTAGACTACAGGAGTTCTTCATAGCAATTACTTATAGACTAACTTATGAATTATGTAGGCCATGAGGCCATGGTGACTCAGAGATTCTCTGTGCAACCAAATGAAAGAGTGTTTGCAAACCAAGTCATCCTGTTAGAATGTGGTCTCTTAAAAGCCTGATAAAGCAGTCCACAAGGGCTAACAGGCTGTCAGGTCAACAAGTTATGGAAAAATACTCTTCATTAATGTTTTAATAGTGTATTTCTTCCTTACAGTACCAGTTCCTGACTCTTGAGCAATCTCAGAATAAATGCATTTTTCTCCTGGACATTTTTGTACTTTCGCCTATTAAGTCCACAGACCACCAGAACAGCACAGGTGATTCCTCCTCACCAGAATACTCAGCCACAAATCCCTAACACCATGTCCATCACCATCCTCACTCCATAAAGGAGCTTGCAGTTTTTGCACAGAAAGACTGTGCTATGCAGTAAGTGAAGGAAAGCTGTCTGTAACAAGAGCTACTTTTGCTGCCTTTTATTCATGTCCCAGCAAATTAAGTCCAGTAAGAATCACCATTTTAAAACTTTGTACTGTACAGCTATACAGTCAGATTGTCAAGAAGTATTTAAGCATTTGCACAAATCCTTTAACCCGAGTCATTAATTCCTGCAGTGGGCTACTTAACTGTGCATCACAAGGGGCGCTGGGAGTCTAGCCAGGTTAGCATTTTGGTTTTTCTGTTCCCACCAAATATCTACTGCACTTCAGATACCACTGAAAAGCCCTCCCCCAAAAAGTACAACAGATATAAACAGATGAAAGCTGTCATACAAAATAAACTCAATGTTCTGTAAGTTATGCGGACATCTTCTATTTTTTAAACTAAATTTTGAAAATACAATTGCTCGCATCAATCAGCTAAAAGCACTTCAAAGCTTCCTTCTACATAACAAAATGGTAATTCATTAGGATCTACAGAATACTAGGAGATTCACATTACATACCAGAACTCCACGTTAGTACTGTACGATCATAGAAGTAAATCCTAAATCTCTACTTGTGCCACACCCCATGGGAAATGAACTGATTAGTCAACTAAGTTACCTTTCAGTTTTAAACTGAAAAATTCACAGCACTGTTTCCCCCCCGATTATCATTCCACCCACGCAACCCATTTAGCTAAATAAAATGTCCTCAACTCTAAAGAGAAGACTGCTCTTAGCAAACCAAGCTGAAAGGCCAGATTGTTGTACAGTATCTAGTGAACTCAGCCCCATCTCACCTCTCAGGCACAATTCCCCCTGATTCAAATTCCTCTTTCTTTCAGATCTTTTAATCTGGAATGAATGGCAGTGTAGCGTCAACGTGGTCCAGAGTCACACCTGTTGGCCACTAGTTTAAAAATTAAAGACAAATTCCAGTTCATTCAAAGCTTCCACAGCTTCTACCAGCTTGTATGTGTATCAAAGACCACTATCACCAAACTCCACAAGCAGATTTCAAGGAAGCCTGAAGGACACAATGAAACACCTGAACACCAAGAAATACTAAAATTAAGTGTAAAATAACTTTAATATAAATAATAAATTTTTGCATACAAGAATATCACTATCTTTTATTTAGCTCATAGGGGAAAAAATGCAAAAACACAGAAGAGAGCAAACTTTTGGGCATCCAGATCTCTTTTAGTTCTTGCACTATGAGAAAGCCCCAGTAAGGGGCAGTGTAAAACCACACTACCTCACAGGATGCTGCAAGAGACTCCGGTGCCAGGAATTATAATACCTCTCTATACGGCAGTCCCTGTATTTGTGAAGGCCTTGTCTTCCATTTGGCCAGTGCAAGAGGCTTTACGTTTGAAGAGAACTTCCACAATTATGTGCCTACTGCAAGCATCGTTTGCTTTGCTGAAAACAAAGACTACCATTGCTGCAGATTTCACTGGCCACTCTACTGAAAAATCTGCAAATTACACCTTGTATATAAAAGATAAGGGTTCCCTCCTCAATGGTCATGCTTTCCAGCCTGAAATAGGTTTCAGAGCACTTTGTTTCCGCATACCTATCCTCTTCGTCAACTACTGCCCAAAGGAGTAGATTTTAAGATACTTTGAACAGTTGAATTGTATCATAAATCTGGAAATATTCACTTAGCCTAAAATAGTGTTGTTACTCATATTTCATTTACAATTAAATAAGGAAGAACCTATATTAATATATAGCATGTGGTTTAAAAAAGTAGTTCTTTAATAAGAAAATAAAAATAAAAATCCAGCTTTCACAAATGAAAAATGGCTTAATGAGACTAAGCCTCGAGCTCAACTCCTGCAACACTAAAAAATTAGTCCACAAAATTTTCACGAGAACCTTACACACTCTCCCTGCATTCAACAAGACTTAATAAAATCACCAGTACACACAGGCTAAGAGAAGGGCCAGAACACACCCCAGTCTCGATACCAGGCCACACAGTAAAGTCCATCTTGTCTTAAAATGAGACCTTTCTCTGATCTTGCTGCCAAAAGAGTCTCTGTTTTGATCAATTTCACCTCAGTAACTAAGTGAATGTGTAGCCAAACCAGAAAGCTGAATGAGAATTTATCAGAAAACCAAACACATAACAAAAAGTCCACAACAGTCCCAGGCTGCCAGCCTACAGCAGACGACCTTAATTTAAGAGAAAAACAACAGGAAAGGATTTTTCTTCCAGTCATAGAGATATCCCTCTTCTAACAAGATCCAAGCATGAGCCAAGCCAGGGAAACTTCAGCCCAATGAAAACTGAAGTTTTGGTTTGGCTGTAACACTTCCTCATTTTCATTCCTATCACTTCACACTCTCATGTAAGTGTTTTGCTTGTAACAAAGACTAATATTTTCAGAAGCACTTCTCAATCTGCCTTGCAAACCTTCTGTCCACTCAGCAATCACCATTTTCCACACAGCTTAGTTTTCCATGGATGCCTCAGTTTATTCCACAGTCCATTTTAAAAGGACAGACTATCAGCAAACATCTCCACAGCTAAGCTTACAAAGCCAGAGACAAACAAGCATCAAGGTGCAAAATTTTACTTGCACACAAATCCCAAGACACCTAGGTCCTTAAGCAGTGTCCTAGGCAAAGAAACGATAGAAAGAAAATCCTGTTTCCACAGAGCAGGACCAGAAGCAAGTGTATGTTCTAGGAAGCCTATGGGCTTTCTACAGGACAGTCACTTGCCAAGGGCTGTGCATGTGAACTTTAGCGAAACCCATTTCCGAAGCATTGTTTAAAATAACATTGAATTATCTTGCAGGGAAAGTCACTAGGAGAAAAAAGAGCCTGTACATTATTTCAATATCCAAATGAGAATACAGTAACACAGCAAAAGACAGATACAAACTGTGCAATAAGCTGCTGCAACTTTTCTACACAGCGAAATACCTGCAAGCATAGTGGAATTAAGCTTTAGGGGTTCATTTTACGTTTTAGCTACCAGTAGCTTTCAGCAGCACACACAAACTGTTGAGGATGTCACTCTGTCTGAAAAAACATCCATGCAAACCATGTTTTTATCATTTTTGTAACAGGGTCTTGAACTTGTGTAGTCACAATTCCTGACTGGAGGCAAAACAATATCACAGTATAACAAAGTCTTCAGGTACAAGAAAAGGAGCAGATGAAGCACCACAGAGCTTACCTCTCATGTTCCTGTGGACTTTGGTGTCCATATCAACTGGCAGCCTCTGAAGATGAGAGACCATGAGTCTGTCCACCTCTAGACCAGGCCACCAGTAAGCCTCTGCTTATAGAGCCACCACATTCTGAGTAGTTTTAACCAAATCAGGCAGTAACACTTCTCCCTCCAGATTGTTTATCTAAATTTACCTTTCTTCTAAGAGGCCCAGCCTTTGAATTCATCTGTATTAAAGTCAACTTCCCTGATCAGATTAGAAGTTCTCACCCCTTTGTTTCTCCCTGCATCAAAGAATTTGCACCTTTCTGATTAAAGCTATAGATTTAATTACTTCATAAAAACAGTCAGGCTAATCGCACTTCATTTCAACTAATTTTCTCAAACTGCACTCAACCTACTTTCCTAGATCAAATCCAACCTACTTTATCCCATTGTCACATACACTTTTCAGAAAATGAGGGAAAAGCAACCCCCAATCCATCCCACAGCTACAGAAACACAGGTCAAGAGGGGA